ATGTACATGCATAAAATTAATTTTCAGTAACCAAAAATATCGGTGGTAGTAAGGGAGTAATATTTGAAATTTTGCAATTGGCAGATTTTATATCAATAATTAATAATTATCTTAGCAGTCATATGTTATTATAGTGGCAAATTTAATATAAAATTTTTCTCTCATTAACTATACACAGTACTTTCATTTTTACTACTTGTACAGTATAATAATATACATGTACATACATGTATATATATACACACAGTGTCTGTACATGTACAAAATATAATCATTACTTTTACAAGTACATGTGTATGATTAGCATACCCTAGTCCATTGGTAGATAGTGAGACACGGAGTTTATCAACAATCTGGTGCTGCTGTTCTGTGACCTGCTCAGTAAAATTAAGCTGCTTTAATTCTTCAACATATTCTTCAGGTGTACTAGGACCAGCTTTATTAGCCTATAAAAAATATTAAATAAAGGATAGAATTTTATGCAAATGTTTTATCATTATTAACATTATCACTAATACTATTTTGCAGGCAGGGTTTCCCATGGGGTTTCAGTATAGCACTCATGCAGCTTCTTTGTCAGACAGTGGATTGTCAAGTTGTTCAAACATTGGGCCAAAAACCCTGTACTATAGTCCAGGGATTTTGGTCAAATTTGTTAAAAATTAAAAAGAGAGAATTCTCCATTTTATAATTTTTAATGATACACATGCACTTATGCTGTGCATCAATTTTGAACTGATTCCAATCAAATTTGAATTTTTTATGAATTTTCAAAGTTGCTCCAAATGGTATGTACTGTATTATAGTGCTTGTCAGCTCATGAAGCTCATGCTCTTTAGCTCTAATGATGCTATGTGGGAAAAATAGCTATTTTGTACACATACACAATGTACATGCAGTATACATTAAATTCTGGGGAGCATGTCTGAGGGGGAGAGAAGAGGAGGAAAAGAAGTAAAAGGAATAAAGAAAAAGAGTAACTAAACTGAAGTATTGTATTCATAGTTGGTTGTCTATGATAAGGAAAAGCAACTTTACACACCTACATGTACATGTATACATGTACATGTTTGATGCCAAACTTTTATACTGATATTGTTACAATGTATATGAGTGAAATTACACCTGTATGCAGGAGTTACTATGATATTTAAATTTTAAACATCATATACTGTAAACCCAAAAAATTTAACAGCCTTTATGCTTAAAGTTTTACAATGGTGGTATATTAATGTCCATTAATTTCAATGATTTTTACAACCAAATGCACATTGACAATCATATTCACAACTATTAACTTTGACAAAATTAGGCTAAAGGTTAAAAAGTTTAAAAATAATTTATATGGACCCCAATTACATGTATTAATGGGTTTACAGTACATATACATGTACATGTACATAATATTACCATAAGTAATGTGCGTGTACATGTGTAATACTGATGGTAATAAAGAGAGTTTAATACAATAATACACTAAAGGTATGCAGTAAAAGAAGGTATAACTAACAGCAGAATGATGATCTCTCAGTATCCAGTTCTTCAACAATCTCTTCTTCTCTTCAACAGTTTGCCCCAGGATATGCTGCCGTCCAACTTCAGTAGTAACATTAATATCTTCCTACAATTAGAACAACATAATACTCCATACATACAAGTACACATGTACATTGTAAGTACCATATGCTCCATGTACAAGTACATGTATTGTATATTAATACTTAATGCCAACCACATGACAGTCCTGGTATAGTGCTAAGCTTTCTTGTCAGTACATTTGGTATGCACATTATGTACATGTATTTGCTCAAAAATTTTGCCAAAAATTAGTAAGCTCCATTGTGGGACACACTGAACAAAACAAAACAAACAGTACATTTTACTTCATTTACTCACAATAATTATCAATTCATACATGCATGTACATGTAAATTAAAACACTTAAAAACACTTACATGTACTACATGTACATGTATGTGTACATGTATATGCACTAACCAACATCTGAAGTAATTTGTCATTAACATCAGCATCACTGAGTTGATCAATTTTAGCAACTTCCATAGAGACATGAGGATCAATTGCTGGAGCACTCTCTCGCTTCTTTGCTGGCTTCTTACTAAACTATAATACAATGTAAATAAAATTATAAAATATATGTTACATACCATACTGAAACGTCTGTCCCTGTCCATAGCCATTATCTATAAGAAAATTAATGATTATAAATTATTTTAACTTAATACACATGTAGAGTTATTGTACAGTGCATTGTACAAGTTAAGCTTAAATATAAGTATATTAAAATTAATACAGACATAAATATAAGTATCATTACATGGAGGTTATTAGGCAAATCCCAATACAGATAAAAATAGATTCTTAAACACAAAAAGGGGACTAGAATTTACATTTTATCAGCTAGTATAGCATGGAAAAACAAACTATGAAATGGAGCATAATAACAATGAAAAAATACATGTACATGTGTATAACATAAAACTATTAGAAAATGATTTCTGACTAAAATGAATTAACAAAGCATATATACACATTACACTGTATAATAATGTACAATTACAACTTATAAAGAGCTAGAGACATAATTAGTAAATACATGTATAAGCACACGATGGTTAGTGGTCACCGTTACTCATAATCACATGAAATCATACAAATATTAGAGTGTATAAGGAATAGGATAAGCTCAGTAGTAAATACTGCATCATACTACTACTAGTACAGTGAATGGAGAACATGCACTTTTTATAATAACATTTATTATTATTATTATTATTATTATTATTATTATTATTATTATTATTATTATTATTATTATTATTATTAAAGTTAATAGTACAAAAACAGAAAACAATTACACCACACTATCTACTGGAGGAGGAAGGATGTGGAAGTGACACAGCCATATATTATTATTATTATTATTATTATTATTATTATTATTATTATTATTATTAGCAAAGTGTGAATTAAAAAAATAAAATATACTAGTCTACTACATACTACAGAGTAAATGCATGAAGAACATGTACTTTTTATGATTACATTTAACAAAGTGTGAATTAAAAAATAAAATCCAAATACACAAACAATTCAACATACACAGTGTAAGCAACATAATGTACTGCATAAAGACAGCATCTTGTTTGCTTGTCCCATTCAACACAATAAAGAGAATACTGTTTCAATAAAGCGCCAACATGCTGCTATAATGCCTATAGCACATGCCCATACTAACTAAAATAATGCATAAACAACAATTTGATACGACATAAAAAAGTATCATAGAAAACTATGTTAAACTATACTGTATTTAATAATGCCTACATGTATATGGTACCTAAATTTATAATTTGATGCTAAATGTACATAAAACAAGTCATAGAAAATATTTTTAGCAACCAGTACTAAAGTATGGATGCCACTATAATGCTTATAATTATATGGTGGCTAAATTCATACAAGCATAATCATTTGATATGTCATAGAGAGAAGTATTTGTTTAGCAAACTGTGCAAAAGTATGCATTGCTTTGTTTGTGTTACCCACTCCCACATAAAGTTACAATGTGATTAATCAATTAGAGACCTCTCTCACAACAGTACATGTAATGAGATTTAATGGACTAACAATGCTAATTTACAATCCTGTGTATTCATAATGAATGACACTAGCGGTTAAAGAAATCACTTGCAACAGTTGAGAGGCCAATACGTTAAATTCCAATACATGTACATGTAAGTATGTACATGTGCATGTTAAGTTGCTAATCAAATATACAATTATTACATGTACATTATACATGTATGTATATAAACCAGTATCAATCACATAGACCTCATTATTATAATAGTAACTATATACTGTACAGCTGTATGGATGTTACTGTACAGCTGTGTGATGTTACTGTAAGCTAATGGTGATGTGCATGTGTACATGTATCTATAATAGTAATGCTAGTATTCCAATATTTATAATCATTTGAGGTCAAAGCAAGACATAAAAGGACGATTACAATTCCAGATTACATAATAAAATAAATATATAATAGTAAAAAAGAATAACTCACTTTTTAATAACAAATAATATGTAAATAAACACGGGGGCACTCTGCTACAAACCAAGACTCTAGCTTTACGGCCTAGAAAAGGTAAAAAGCAAGAGGCTTACACTTTTTCTTACCTCTGGCTCTAATCTCAGTCAGAGGAGAGGATTCCTAGCCCTCAAGGCAGGAAATCTAACGTGAAAATGGCTGTCTTGGCTGATCGGGGTTTTAATTTTGCTGAAGTTTGCTACCGTAAAGTTTCTTATTTGCTTTATTAGTTAATGACCAGGCCCAACGACACGCCCTCAATTAAAATGGCTGCCGAGAGCACTCCACTCAATCCAGCAATGCTAGCTTTGATTGCAAAGGAGGGATGGTGAGAATGAGGGATAGAGAGGGAGTGAGAAATGTACTTTTTCTTTTGGTAGGTCGTTAAGTGATGAGGGTTTGTCTTTGTGTGTGGAAGGCTGCTCAAAAGATGGTGGGAAAGTGTCCCAGAATACTGTCATTGCTCAGGCACTTAACGTGAGTATTTCATATTGTATGTATTTAATTGTTTGTTTTATTACTCGGCAAAATTGAAGTTTGCTTATAATTGAAATTGTTATGTAGTATTTTTAACTTTGATATTGTAATTTTCATTCAAACTCAGGCTACTCAGCTATTATATATGTGATGTACATGTATAATTAATGCATTTAAATTTTACAGTTAGATCTGAGAAAGATTGGAAAGAAGAGTCTTCCTGAGCTTTCTAAAAATAGGGAGGTAGGTAGCAATAAATTATAGCGTGACTTGATGATTTTGGAGAACAATCATATTACATTGTAAAATATATGAAGTTCAATCTTTGTTTGTCAATATAATTACATGTATGATAGATGTACATGTGCTTTGTGGCTTATACAGTATTTGTTTCAAATACAAAGATTGAAATTACTGTGTCTGTAATTTGATCTGCCTTTTTATAGAATAGTTTCTTTGTCAAAGTCAATTTTTAATTAAACCTGTGTATTTAAATTACGTTTAAAAAGTTATTTTTGAGGAAAAATACATTTATATGTATCAGAAATAAAAATAAAAATGGAGAATTCTCTCGTCATTTTTGACAAAATTTGGCCAAAATCTTAATTTGTACTCTATTTTACAGCAACTTTAAAAATAATTCCTTAAAATCCAATTTCATTAAAAATCAGCTCCAACTTACACAACAACATGCACACTATACATGTATTCATTTAGAAATTAATACGTTTGTTAAAGTATTTTATTCTAATATCATAGATAAATGGGAAATTGGTCCTACAAATTCAAAAAGTGTCAAATGTTGCAGTCCCTACATCAAAGCACCATGATGACTCGTGTAAAAAGAGATTACTAAAGCTTCAACTCACAGATGGACACAATTACTGCCATGCTATAGAATATGGCTCACCTATACCTCATCTTAGGTACTGTATAGCTGGTAATTTTAAAGGGTTAAAATTTTGATGAATTTCTAAATTTTTGGATGTAATTTGGTAAACTTGTGGTGACCATTGTGCATTCAATTCATATAAATGTGATTTCAAAGAAGTAGTTCAAAGTAATTTTGGCAAGTAGCTGTACAACAAAGACATGTACATATACATGTACCAGCTACTGCATAATTTTGGAGGGGCTTAAATTTGGTGAATTGCTGAGTTTTGATGATTTAAAGATTTTAATTTGTCGAATTTGTGGTGATGGCCATTGAACATGCACAAAATGGCTCAAAATGGCGGATTTTATTTTGATGAATGGCTATCAAAATGCTAAATTTGCCAAATTTAACTCCCTCCAAAATTTCCTGTTATATACAGTGTTATGTATGATCATTTATTACTATAGTAGTCTCCTTTTGTTACAATTATTAGACCTTCAAGTCCTCCTGGTACCAAGTTATTGATATCAAGCAAAGTTAATGTTGTGGGTGGCTTTCTGTTACTAACAGAGAAGTCAACTGTAATACTAGGAGGCCACGTTGAGCACATGATTAAAAAATGGAATCTTGAAAAAGTATGAATTTCTAGTTCACTTAATTTAAGGTTACTTTTTAAAACGGGTACCATATATTGCAAAATTTCTGTTGGGATAAAATCTCAATCATCCCAATTAATTAATGCCCGCAGTTATTAATAATGCTGTAATTAGTAGTAATTATTTAATCACAATTTTTAATACCAGCAAAATATTTCTTGGGCTAAATTGCAAAATTCAGCACCCACAATTAAAAGCTACTCTAAAGGAATTTTAGATCATACTTGGTAATGGATATGTGATACAGTCAGTAAAGTGTTTCTTCACTCCTAAACTTCATTTCATGAGTTACTTCCTGTTTTATACATTGTAGTTCTACATGTACTGATGTAATATCATGCCAGCATACAGTACAATTAATCTCGTAGCATACTTGATTTTTTAAAGTATAGATCTATTAACTAATAATAAAAAATTGACAGCATTACAAAACTTAGGTAAGTAGTACGACGTAAACATTAGTCTATGTTAGTAAATACTATATATAGAATTAAATAAATATTTAAGATGATGTTTATGAAGCCAACAAAAAAGGCAAAAAAATTAAAAATGAGTGCAAGCTGGCGCCTTGAGTACATTGTATTGATGTCACCATCCATTTCAGCCTTCCTTGCCTATAATAAAGAATCACAACATGATAATGATTCCAATTACATGGTTGGAGTCAATGTTCCATGTAACATGGCTGGGGTCATAACAAAGGAATTAGGACTTTTGCCATCCCAAGATACTCTTTTTAGTGAAGAAACACCAGGAATATTTACAAGTAGCCATTTTGCCTTAATTATTAGGGGTGCGGCCGCACGTTATGAATATAGTTATCAACACTACACGTCATCATTAATGATGTCATCTTGAAAAACGGGCCAGTTTTTCAAGATGACGTGCTTCCGTACACGTGTCCCTTTAAAGTCAACTACACTGAAAATATTCTTAATGTATTGTACTAACTTTGATGACAAAGCATAGAGCTGGAATAACAAAACAGAGTGCCAAGATTCCAATGAAAGAACAGACAAAGAGTTGAATAATAGTAAGCATAAAAAAGTTGTCACTTGGAGTTTGATTACGACGATAAATGAAATGAAAGTCACGCGTGAGCTGAGGCTGAGTGACAAGAGGCTGAGTAGTCACAAGAGGCTCTGGTACAAGAGGTTCTGGGACAAGAGGATGACTATCATTCTATAAAAAAACAAAGGACATCATGGAATGGAACTAAATCTATGACTAAATTTAAATGTTTTAGTGTTGCAAACCTCGCTTTGAATTTCTTCATCATCATTAACCGAATTTGGAGGAAAAGGAATCAGAGCAGCTGCATTGAAACAAATTAGACATTTGGACAACTATAACTTGTAGCCAAACTTACTGTTCTCCATAATTTTTGTGTGTAACCTTTTCTAGACCTTTTCTAGATACGCGACTGGTGGAATGTTAATGAGATGTAAATTGTATTCACGACAGGGTGCGGTCAGATTACACCCACAGCCACGGGGGGCGCGGGGGAAGATTATGGAGATGCCTAAGAGCTGCTGTTTAGTTAATTTAGTTAAATACAATGACTGGTTGGGCAAGATAAAGGTATTAAAGGTCTTTAAATTTCCTCTGAATGATAAGGAATGCTGTAAAAGATGGACAGCAGCTGTGAGATGAGAGCACTGCAGCCAAGAAGAGCCGGCTCCATGATAAATGATGAGCATTTGTAATGAGCATTACTGGAGCTTAACCAGTATTACTGGTAAGACAATTTTGCATGTAGTCCAAGTACTCACTTATTTAATCAATCTGCAGGAGAACCTGACAGTGTCCCAACTCATCCTGACTACATTCCAAGCCTTTTCCTTCAGTTTATAAGTCTCAGTAAAGATTCTAGCAACAGTATGGCAGATTTGCAACGTCTTATAGCTGCTGTCCATCTTATATATACAGCATTCCTCATCCTTTAGAGGGGATATAGAGACTTTTAATTCTCTTTTCTTGCCTAACCAGTCATTGCATTTAACTAAACAGCAGCTTTTAGGCATCTCCACCATAGGCACAGCTATAATCTTTCCCCCAGTATAGTAGGTGTAATCTGAGCACACCCTATCGTGAATACAATTTACATCTTATTAACATTACACCAGTCGCGTATTGTGAAAAGGTCTATACCGTACAGCCTCAAACTTTCATCAGCAAAACTTTGATTATAAGAGCAAAAACAAAACATTCGTCAGAAAAACATTCGTCATAATAAGATTTATTGACGAAATTAATTTCAGCCACGCCCACTGAGCGACACTGAAACGCGCGGGTCGATATATGAACACGTGGTATAAACTATAATAATTATTATTATTTGTCGGTAAAATTATTTATCATTTTTTGTCAATTGACGAAATTGATGAATGTTTTCACCGACAAAAGTTTGAGGCTGTACGGTATTTCACTGAATTTTGTTTTGTGGGCTACTTTTGAATTTCTTACTGGAAGATAACATCATCAATTTGATATTAATTTTTATACCAGTTATTAGGTTATTTTTTTAACGATCATAACAAAAGCTAATAATAAATTAACAAATAATAGATTAATATAGGTTAGATGAAATGAATGATTTTAATTTAAAAATAGAGAGAGATAGTTTGATAGAGGACGGGAGAGAGTTCCATTGGTTAATGCTTGATGGGAAAAAAGAGTGAAGAAAGGATGAGGATTTGCAAATGTTGATTGGTTTAAGATTGCCTTGATAGTTTGAGCGGAGAGAGTAATGAGAAGGAGTAGATTGAATTAGAGGATGAGATGGTGAGAAAAGCATATTTTCTTTAATTTTAAACAAAGTGATAAGTTTGAATCTTAAGCAACGTTGTGCTAAAGTAGTAAGAGAAAATTTGGACAAAAGGTCACTATATGACGAAGACCAAGATTTAAAAACCATTTTTAATACAAAATATTGGACTCCTTCAATGGATGAAGAGATAGAAGGGGAAATTGGATCCCAAACAACAGCAGCATATTCTAGAATAGGACGGATTAGAGTTACATAAAGGTGAAGGAGAGTTGAGGAAGATGAGTTACAATAAAAGTGACGATAGATAAGTCCTATTACTTCAAGACAATGAAGACATCAATTTACACAGGATTTTATCATTTTAGCATTTTGTTGACATCAAAAAGCTTGTGACAGTATCTCCCACAATAACCTTCTCCATGAACTAGCTTCTCTTGTTTATTTTTAATTCTATTTATTTTTTAAATATTATCTATTAGTGAATTTGGTAAGCGTAATGTGATAGATGTGCATCTTCCTTCTTTCCTAAACTGAGCTTTGTTGTTGTAAATGTACATGTATGTATCATAGTTGCATGGGTTGGGACTTAAGTTTCAAGCTAGCTTAAGCCCTTGCACAAATAATTGAGTGCTTTGACTGAAATAAACATGCACTGAGTACCAGTACTTAAATACTTATTAATTTTAAGCCAATTTTACATGCACACTTTATTAATATGCACACTTTATTAATAGACTTCAGAAAACTTCCAAAGAGTACAGTCATCTGGAACAGGTCCCCCTCCATTTATTCCACTAACTGCTACAGCAAATAAGACATCAGTTCAACAGCGAAAGACTCTACCTACTGTACGTCAGGCAGAAAAGTCTTTCAAATCCGAAGCTCCTTCAAGTAAATGATAAAGTGCATGGTATTAAATTTTTTAAAAACATGTAGGACAGCTTCATTCTTGTGAAGAACATCATCATACTGATAGACATAAACAGGACAGTAAATTAGAAGCTAAATCCAAGTAAGTTCTTTTTAGTTTAAATAAATAGTTATAATAATTATTTTATAGGGATTCAAAATACTATGATGACAGATCTACTGCAAGTACTGGGCAACTTAGAACATATCACGATGGCAAATCTGGTTCTAGTGACAGCAAAACATCTTCTAGTTCATATCGAGACAGCAAATCTGCTTCATACCATGACAGAAAATCTGGTTCAAATGACAACAAAACTGAGTCAAGTTCATACCGTGACAGCAAAACTGCTTTATATCGTGACAGCAAATCTGCTTCAAGTGACAGCAAAGCTGATTCAAATTCATACCGTGACAGCAAAACTGCTTCATATCGCGACAGCAAATCTGCTTCTTACCATGATGGTAGATCTGCTTCAAGTGACAGCAAGGCTGCTTTAAGTTCGCGTCATGATAGTAAAACTCCTTCAAATTCACACAGCAAATCAGATGCAGCCTCTTCATATCATGGTAGCAAACCATATTATGACAGCAAGAAAGTTTCAAGCTCATATCATGACAGCAGAATACATCATGAGAGTAAAAGCTCAAGCTCATATCGTGACAGCGAGACACAGCATCATGACACTATCTCATATCGTGACAATAAAAGTTCAAACTCTCATTGTGACAGTGAAATACATTATCATCATGAAGCTAGCTCACACCGTGACAATAAAAGCTCAAGCTCGTACCGTGACAGCAGAAAAACTTCAGATTCATCACACCATGACAGCAAAAGAGCAACCTCATATCATGAGAGTAAAACACCTTCATATTCTGATACAAAAGCATCTTCAAAGTCATACCATGAAAGCAAAGGAGCTACTGGCTCATCAGTTGGTGATAGTTCAAGCCATAGACAGGATAAAAGGTAAGCACACAATGTAGAATTCATACCCCAGCATTATATTGTAGCCCATGTACTTAGATCTGACTGGTATACCAGTACATACATTTAGCTACAATTGTAAATGTGCATGTACATGATATCTATAGTTAAAGATTTCAAATTGATCCACAGGTACTCCAAGCCCAATGAAGACAGAACTGGTAGAGGATTTGATTATCATGATAAGAGAATGACTTCATCTACCTCAGAGCAAAAAGTAACTACAAAGTAAGTCCAAGTCTCATGTACAATACTGACCTTAAGCATTATTATTAGTGCTACAACACAACAGAAAAAAGATACTTCAGCCACATACAGCTGGGACTCTGTTGTAGCAAATTGTAAAGCACCATCTGCAGCTAAGGAGAAGCAGAAAGACAAAATGACTCATTGATAATAATTACTGTTTCTTGTCTGCATGTGCAATTATTAGAATTTTTATTCTGAATAGATTGAGTTCAAAAAAGTTGTGAAACTAATGAATTTTACTAGCATGAACTATAACATTAATACCAACATCATAACATTAACATTTAATACAAGTATTTGTGCATGTGCTAAACTGATGTGTTTAGAGGTACATACATTAACATTATACTTAATACCAATACTGGTTAGTATGACATATTTAATAATTTGTTATTATAGCTATCACGGTGACACACTACTGAAGTCTGATATTAATGTGATAATAAGTCTGATATAATAGCAGTTATTGTATACAAAAGGAAGTGAAACAATAATATACAAATGTGTTTATTCTCATTGCTTTGTTTAACAACAGGAGTACTTATTACATGTAATGAAGCATACTGTAATGACAAAAGCACCCTGTCAAGATTGACTAGACCTACTTGCTTAGTAAAAATAAGTGTTTTATAGCTACTATAGTATGGCGGAGTTTATTTTTGTCATTATTCCACCCGCTTTTAATTTCATTATTTAGACTTCATAATAAAAATAAGCTTTATAAACAATACAGATTATTTAACTTACTGCAGGTAAAAGAATGTTATCCACCTCATTATATCATTGTTTTAACAATTTATTCTAGTTGTTTGGAATGGGATACAGTGAATTGCAAATTGTATACAGCCTATAAAAATTTGTGCCCATGTGAACTCAAGCATTTGATTGGTTAATCTATTGATTGGTCAGATTAATTTTCAAAGGCTATTAATAATGACAACCAAGTTGAACCAACATGCAATTCATTGTAGTGTTGGAATCACCTAAAAGATCTGGTAGCCATTGTCCACAATGAATTTAAATTTATTTTTGGGCCCTGCGCTGTTGTTCTTTTTATTATATTATTGATGTTCTTGCACGTGTTGTTTTTAAGAAAAAGAGAAGAGATAATTTTACTAAAGTTTTTCACTGTTATTGCGTGCAAGCAAGCTGTGCTTTGGTCAATACTGCACCTAAGTACATAACAGTTTTGACGACGAGGGTTAAAATGATGCCAGCATCTTTCCACGGTTCTATTTCTACTTTTGATGCCACTC